CTATCCTTGGGGGAATCATTAAATAAAATGCAGTAGGCATTGCTCATGGTGCCCTTGGCAGCAATCAGAAACAAAACACTAATATTCATGTGGCAATACAGATAGATCTTAAAAATACAGCACTGAGTAATACAAAGATCAGGGAAGAGAACGAAGCCTGTAGCACTATGTCATTTGTGTAACTGGAAACACAGACACCCAAAACAACACTACATATTTTAGAAGGATACATATAAAACACAACATAGCAGCTGCCCATAGAGGGGGGAATTGGGAATAAAGGGGAAAAAAGAAACATGGCAAGAGGAGGCCTTGTGCTGACCTATGATAGAAACCTACTTTGAATTGGACAAGTATGATTAACTCAAACCTCTACACTTGAGGTCTTTTAAAAGCCAAGAGAAAGCCAATGGCTTTACTTGGTAATATAGTCTCAATAAAATACATATGTCACCTACTCAAATTCAGAAGAAACAGTCACAGAGTACTCCTGGTGAATACCATCCAACATCAAATGACTTTCAAAAGATTTTTCTTTTTTTTGAGTCGGAGTCTCATTCTGTTGCCCAGGCTAGAGTGCAGTGGCATGCTCACGGCCACTGCAGTCTTAACCTACCGGGCTCAGGCAATTCTTCCACCTCAGTCTTCCAAGTAGCTGGAACTACAGACGTGCGCCACCACGCCCAGCTAATTCTCGAACCCCTGGGCTAAGGCAATCCTCTCACCTCTGCCTCCCAAAGTGCTAGGATTACAGGCATGAGCCACCGTGCCTGGCCTCAAGATATTTTTAAAAAAGGTCAAAACTGAAAAACAGATGAAAGATCATGTCTCAAATTTGGGCTTATTTTTCAGAAACCCATAACCTACATTTTAAAAAGGGGTGGAGGTAAAAGAAACCCTTTGTAAGACATTTAAAACACCTTTTCCCTGACTTTTTATAAATCTATTAACTCTTAACAAAAAGTTTTTAGCTGGGTGCAGTGGCTCACACCTGTAATCCTAGCACTTTGGGAGGCAAAAGCAAGAGGATTGCCTGAGTCCAGGGGTTTGAGATCAGCCTGGGCAACTTGGTGAGACCTCATCTCTACAGTAAATCAAAAAATTAGCTGGGTGTGGTGGCACACGCCTGTGGTTCTGGCTACTTGGAAAGCTGAGGTGGAAGGATCACCTGAGCCCAGCAGGTTGAGGCTGTGGTGGCTGGAAGCATGTCACTGTATTCCAGCCTAGATGACAGAGTGGGATTCCTACTCAAAAAGAAAAAAAAATTTTTTTAGATACAGGTTCTCACTCTGCTGCCCAGGCTGGAGTGTAGTGGTGCTGTCATAGCTCACTATAGCTTTGAACTCCTGGCTTCAGTGATCCTCCCACCTCAGCCTCCTGTGTCACTGGGATTATAGGTATAAGAATCATGTTTGTTTCTACTGACTCTTAAAAGAGGCTTTCTGGCAGAGTTAAGTTGCTTTTCTAGGCAATCTAAAATGTCACGACTAGATCACCTGCCTCAGAATCACCTGGGGTGATCCACCAGGATGGCAAGGGATCACTGAATTCTACTCAGGATGCCGGTATTTTATCCACTGTCCTAATTTGTTTCTTGTTCATATCAGAGTTGAACAAATAACTGTATGAGAGTATCCATTCCAAAACAACTATCATGCCAGCTGCAGCCCAGCATGTCTCTGGAGACTCCCACTATCTGACCTGGCTTGTCCCTACTTGTCTTGGGCAAATTCCTAATTCTGAAGGTGCCACTCCTACCTATCTTTCAAATCCCAGGCTACAGCCACAGTCTTGACCTTGACCTCTGCCTCTCCTCCTTCTGTAGTGGCTGCCTTCACCTGGGAGAATGGCACCACACACCTATCAGGGTCATCCAAGCTGGAAATCTGGGCACCAGCCTCAATTCCTCCCTTTCTCATGATCCTTTCCCACCCTCACATCCAACCATAGTACCCATTAAGCTGTTTTGCAATCACCTGTGAGCTGCATGGTCCCTTGTGGCACCATGGAATACTGAGAGAGATGCAATCTTATCTATCTCAGTCATCGCTGCACTCCTAGAGCCTACACAAGTCCTGGCTCACAAGAGATGCCAAACACATGTCTGTTGAAAAGAAACCAGTCATCTGCTGCACCATTTCCTCTGTCCAGAAGCCCCCTCCTAGATCATTTCTCACATAGGGACAAGCCTAGGTTACCTGGGAGGGGTGGAAGCAGATAACTCACCGTCTTTCATACTCCATGTCCTGATAGGGCCTGCGGGGGCTGCTGGGGCCCCTCCTCAGCCGCTGGCTCCGTTTTACTTCCCAGCCACCCCCGCTGCTGCCACCATGATCTGCCAGCCTGGGTGAAGCCTCCTGCAGGGACTCTGGGGAGAGTGGAAGGAAGAAAGGGGTCAAGGCAGTTGGGGCAGAGAGGGCCTCTTTGAGAAACCCTTGCTGTCAAGGCTCTCTGCTGTCCCTTAGCCCAGGGGCAGTGTCTTCCAACTCCCAGTGCTCCTATGGATCTAGGGTGAAGGAAGCTCCTACTTGGCCTGCTCCTTCCTTTCCCCACAAACATGAGGCTAGGGCTCACTGCCCAAGAACACAGCCAAGTCTTCGTCAGACAGAGGGCATCTTGCAGAGAGACCTGGTAGGGTCACTCACTGTGTGATCAGGGCTTTGCCACCCAAGATTGTTATACAAGTTCAAGTCTAGGGCTGTATGGGGGTGGGGTGGGGAAGCTTTCAGTCCTGAAAGACTTGCCTGAGATTAGGCACGTTAGGCAAGACTTCACAACAACAAAAGTCCCAGGCACCCACCAGGCTCCTTCCATGGGCCCCAAGGTATCACTTATCCTTCCAACAAGATGCTGGTTGTCACCTTCAAGGTGGCAAAAGACCACGAAAGGCTCTTGGGAGAGCACGTGAAGGGGCTAACTTGGCAACGAGACAGCTGCCACCTCCCTGGGCTCCTGGCCAACACAGCCTTGGCCCTCACACGGCAACTGGCTCAGCCCTGAGCCCTGTCTTTTATGTACAGCTGGGTCCCAAGGTGGCTCTCTCCCCAGGGCTCTGAGCCCATTTTCCAGAGGCAAAAGGGGCCCCTTCGGAGGCTGTTCTGAGCCACTGTGCTCTTGTGCTGGGACAGAGTGGCAGCCAATCCTCGGGGCTGCTGTGAGAATGAAGAGAGTCCTGAGATTCTTGTGACCCAGCCAGAGGTCAAGATGAATCCCAGAATTTTTCAGGCCCCACCCTCTGGACAGGTATCAGGTAAAGCCAGGCAGTAACAGCACTTGCCCAACACAAAGTTGCTGCTACACCCCTCCCTCATGTGCAGCGCACGAACACACACACACACACACACAGTTTTCTCTTTCTCCTCAAGTCATGGGGAACCAGAGTTACCTGTTCCCAGGTGGATAAGAGCTAAAATCACAACCAGGGGTCCCAGTGAGTGAGAGTCAGATAAAGAACCCTTAACGGACTATGGCAAAGGGGCCAGAGTCACACGCCAGCATCCACCAAGGCCAGGGGCTAAAGTCACAGACAGGAGCCCCAGATAACTATGGGCCAAAACCACAGAAAGAACCCACAGTAAGGGCCACAATCACACACTCAGTCCCCGTTCAATGGATGCGCATCAGTGTCACAAATTCAAAACTCCTCAAAAGAGGCAATAAGTCACACTTGCAAACCTTCCCCACCCAGTAAGTGGGTTAAGGTCAGTTACCAGAGAGCCCGCTCCCCCCTGCACCATGGAAAAGGACCAGAGTCACAGATACACACCTCACGGATAAAGACCCGAGTCACATTCTCCCTCCTCGTCCCCACCCCATGAATAGGGACCAGAACCACAGAACATCTCCCCGTGGACAGACAAGTACCGAAGTAACTCAGAGCAGCCAGCACAGTCCCTCCACTATGGATAAACCCAAGTCACAGATAACAGTCACCCTATGGATAAAGTTGGATGTAATGGACACAGTGCCCTACTCCCATCCGTCCGTCCCTCCCTTCCCCCAACCCGCGTGCACCCATCCCGTGTCCCGATCGCGCACGCGCCTTGCCTCTCTTAAAAAAAAAAAAAAAAAATTACACCCCCTCCCGGGTTCAGACTGTGCACACATCCCTCTGTCTTGCGCATACCCTCGGCCCGCAGTCCTCCCTCGTGCCTTCTCTCACATCCCCACCCCCCGCCCCGGGCCCCTTACCTCCGCCCCCACGACCAGCGTCGACGCTCACCTTCTCGGCCCGGGCTGTCAAGGGAGGGCTCCCAGACATCACCTCGGCCCGCCACCACCTCCTCCAACTCTCCCAGCTCAGCCGGAGCCGGTGCGCGCAACAGCCAAGTCCGAGGCTGCAAGCAGAGGGAGAAGGGGAGAGGGAAGAAGCGCCAAGCGCGCTACCCTCCCAGGGAAACTCACTGCCGCCTACTCCTAGCCGGCCGCAATCACCAACACAAAATGGCGACGAGGAGAAGGGAGCCGGCGCTCCGACCACCATCCACCTACTAAGGGAGCGCGCTCTGGCCGGCCTCGTCGATTGGTCGCCACCCGCCGTCGGCCAGCCCCGGCCTCTTCTGATTGGCAAGCGTATGCCACCTCCCCACTCCCCGTGCGAAAGTCGAGAAAAAGAGTATCTATTGGCCAATCCGACAAGGCCCGCTTTTTAGACGCCTGACTTCCTTTGAAGATGAAAGACTAACGGAAGCTCCACCTCTTTCCTCGGAGGGCGAGGGAAATCTCTGGGCGATTGGCTGGGAACTGTAGCGACCCAAATGTCACCGCTTTCTTCCTATCAAGAAAATGAGCAGGCCTATCAATAAGAAATTATTCAGCCTGGCCGCGAGGATTAGAGAATGGTTGGCCAAACGAAGCCATGACAAAAGGAGGGAAAGAGGGCTCCTCAACATCCGCCTCATTTGAAAACAAAATCCAACCCGGGACCTATTTAGTGTGGCGGGGGCGGAGCGACAACGATCGCGTTCAGCCCAACTGCAGCTGCGCACAGTTGTATTTCCGTCTCCGTCCCAGACCCTGCCGCACAATCTGTCATGGCGGCTGGACTGTTAAGTTTCAGCGTCCGCCGTCTTTTGGCGGCAGTGGCGACACGAGGTCTCCCGGCTGCGCGTGTTCGCTGGGAATCCAGCTCTTCTAGGGCCGTGGTAGCCCCGTCCACTGTTGCGGGAAAGCGGGCGCCGGAACCGACCATACGCTGGCAGGAGGACCCAGAGCCCGAGGACGAAAACCTCTATGAGAAGGTGAGAGGGAGGGGGAACAGGACGCTGGAAGGGTCAATCGGGGACCGGCAGATGGGGCACCGTAGAGGACGTTCTTGGGCTGGAAATTTTGCTTAGCTTGTTTTCCTCCGTTATCCTCTGATATCTTCGGTTCAGGGCCATAAGTGGGATTGGCTTTATTTTGCAGACAAATCAAACCTGAAGTGGGCGGCGTTCAAAACACATTAGGCGCAATATAGTATAACGATAATACTGAGTACTGATATGGCACTTGCTCGGGGCCATCTGTGTTCTAAACATTTTACATATATTTACTCATCTAGCCCTCAAAACAACCCGGTTTTGAAGTAGTTATTATCCCCATTCTCCAGTTGAGGAAACAAGCACAGAGATGTTAAGTGAATTGCCCGAGATCACATAACTGACTGAATACGTGGTGGAACTAGTATTTGAATTTAGGGCTACCAGGTCTGCTGTGCTGTATGAATAGCAGAGGCTATTAAATAAAGCGGCCAGAGTTGGAATCCAAGCACTGACTGTTACCTACCTGTATGACCTTGGGTAAGTAGCTTAACTCCTTGGTGCCTCAGTTTCTTTGTAAAATGGGAAAAGTAATAGGGCACCTTCTTAAAAAAAAATTACATCTGCCTCATGTAATTAAATGAAATCAAAATGGTCAGATCAGTAGTGAGCACTCAGCATTAGATAGTGTTTTTTATTGCTATGTTCCACCTCACTGAGATATTGTGAGGTTTGTGTATGTGAAAAAGCCTGGTACATAATAAGTACTTCATCAATACTAGCTCCCGGTTAAGGGTCTTGTGTATATAGGATGCTTGTTTATTCATTCATTATTCTGTAAATATGTGTTGAGGGTCTGCTGTGTGCCAGGTGTGGTTCAGGGCCCTAGGGATTCAGCAGTATGGAAATAAGGTAAAAGATACAGAGGATCTGGGGAGGGGTGCTACTTTGGTAAACAAATGTTAAAAGACATGAAAGGAAGAAATGATGTGAAGATGCCCCCCAAAAAGGAAGTTAATCAGGATAAATGGGTGGAGAGTGACTTGAGTGTAGGAGGCCATTTTATTAAGATTGAACCATAAGAAGTTGCCAATATTCAACCATTTTTGACCTATAAAAATAGCAGTTTCCTATGGTTCAACTTAATAGACAAGGTGACTAGAGAGTACCTCCTAAAGGAAGTGGTGATGAAGCCAAAACCTTGATTGAGGAGATGGATCCAGCTATGACTAGATCTGGGGGAAAGGCTGTCAGGCAGAGGAACAGCAAGTGCAAAAGCCCTGGTAGGAGTCTGACATGTCTTGAGAATTTCAGAGGAATTTAGTAGGGAGCGGAGATTGAAGACCAGGTTATTAGGGCCTGCATAAGGCTTTGTGGAGCAGCAGGAAGCCCTCATTGACCTCTCCTTCTCCACAGAACCCAGACTCCCATGGTTATGACAAGGACCCTGTTATAGATGTCTGGAATATGCGGGTCGTCTTCTTCTTTGGCATCTCCATTGTCCTGGTCCTTGGCAGCACCTTTGTGGCCTATCTGCCTGACTACAGGTGCTTGGGGTATCCTAGAGAGTGGGATGGATAGAGGGCAGAGGCAGGGGTGGAGGCTGAAGGGGACTCTGCCAGGGATCTTGTCCCTGTACTGTTATAGAATGGGGAGCTGAGATGGGAGATTGGTGTCCAGTGAAACTACCTCATGTCTACCCTTGCCACTGTTTCCTCCAGGATGCAGGAGTGGGCCCGCCGGGAAGCTGAGAGACTTGTGAAGTATCGAGAGGCCAATGGCCTCCCCCTCATGGAATCCAACCGTTTTGACCCCAGCAGGATCCAACTGCCAGAGGATGAGGACTGACCAGTTGCTGAGTGGGGCTCAAGAAGTACCACCTTCCCCACCCCCTGCCCATCATTCTGACCTCTTCTCAGAGCACCTAATTAAAGGGGCCGAAAGCTTGACTGGCTAGTATTTTGTTGTGAAAGGGATATAGGAGTAGGGGTGTCAGAAGCTTTAAAGGGGCTACCGCAGTCTTTCCTGGATGTTCTGGTTGTCTGTTGCTGTGTACTAAACACCCTAAAACTTAATGGCTTGAAATGGGTTTACTGAGCCAGGCTCGGTGGCTCAACCTGTAATCCTGTGCCTTTGGGAGGCTGAGGTGAGTGGATTGCCTGAGCCTGCGGGTTCGAGACCCACCTGGGCAATTTGGCGAGACCTCATCTCTACAATAAATAAAAAAATTAGCCGGATGTGGTAGCGCCTGCCTGTAGTTCCAGCTACTTGGAAGGCTGAGGCGGAAGGATCGCTGGAGACCAGCAGGTCGAGGCACTCCAGTCTGGGCAACAGAGTGAGACTCCAACTCAAAAAAAAAAAAAAAGAAATGAGTTTACTGGGCTTACTGAGGTGGCCCTTCTTGGGGTCTCAGGTAGTTGCAGTTAGATAGTGACTGGAGCTGAACATCCAAGATGGCTTTTTCACTCATATGTCTGGCACCTCAGTTTTCTTCCATATGTCCTCTCTCCAGCAGAATAACCTTGGCTTCTTATATGGTGTTTCAGGAATGCTGGGGATGGGGGTGAGGAAGAAATCAATGGCAGCCATCTTTAGAACCAAGCCACCTCACTGGGACCTCTGCATTTGAAGAGGGGCCAGAACGACCAGGTATTGAGGCTGGACAGTCAGAGATTGAGGGTGGCGGGTCAGAGCAGTGCATTTTTTTATTGCTGAGGATGGGTGTTTGGCTCTCTCCCTGCCCTCTCTGGGCTTTGGGAGTTTTTGCCTCTGTCTTGTATCTTGGTGAGTCTGAATGCCTTTTTTTTTTTTTTTTTTTTTTT